CCCAGAATGACCACCAACTGGGAGCTTTTTGGTACTATTGCTGCAACATGGGAAGATGCCATTGTTGACAACATTGACGAGGAATACGATCAACTGGTTCAGCACCTCCATGACTGTGCGAGGAATGTCGAGAGAGATAGCCACAAAAAAAAAAAAAAAGCCTGTCTTCAAAAACTTGAGCTTATTCTCCAACGTGGTTTGGCACATGCCTCAGGCAACCACAAGCGAACATCCGAGCTCGCAAAGCAGTGCAGAGATGCGATCAAGGAAGATCTCAAAGAGAGAAAAGCAGAAATGCTGGTAGATGCGGCAGAAGCTGAGAAAAGTATTCGTAATGCCCGCCTGTCCTTCGCCAACTACAAGACCAAGATGACTGCCCTCCAACATCCTGATGGATCTATCACATCTTCCAGAACGGCAATGGAGAAGATTATCCATGACTTCTACTCAAATCTCTTCGATAGCCATGTCCACCTGTCGACATACCAAATTCCACAGGATGCATATGTCGTTCCCAATGTTCTCCCTTCCGAAATCCGACACACCATTTCATCAGTAAAGAAACGAACAGCACCTGGCCCAGACAAGGTCAGACCTGAACACCTGAAGAACCTGCCATCAGTACTCATCAATACGCTGGCTCGGCTATTCACAAGCTACCTGTCTGAATGCAAGGTTCCATCCCAATGGAAAACCAGCAGGACTGTACAAGAAGGCAGACATCCACAACATTGGCAACTATAGCCCAATCTGCCTATTGTCTGTCATCTGCAAGTTGTTCACTCGAGTCATCCTGAATAGGATTGGCAGAACACTAGATGAAGGAAAACCATACGAGCAAACCGGGTTCCGCAAAGGATTCAGCACCATCGACCATATCCACACGATAACCAAGCTCATCAAGGTTTCTCGGGAGTTCAAGATGCCACTCTGTCTAACATTCATTGATTTAAAGAAGGCCTTTGATTCTGTTGAGATGGAAGCGGTCATTGAAGCCCTAGCTAATCAGGGCATTCAAACTCAGTACATCAGGATCCTCCATGAGCTGTATTACAGATTCACTACCAGGATCTCACCATTCTACAAAGAAGTAATCATTGATGTCAAGAGAGGGGTTCGGCAGGGTGATACCATTTCACCGAAACTCTTCAGTGCCACTCTCGAGAACATCATGCGACGACTGGAATGGGAAGGAATGGGAGTGAAGACAGATGGTCGGCAACTACACCACCTCCGCTTTGCTGATGACATTGTTTTAATAACACCAAACATTAGCCAAGTGGCACAAATGCTGGCCGACTTCGACCATGAGTGTGGAAAGGTCAGACTACAGCTGAATCTTACGAAGACAATGTTTATGAGAAACAGCCTTGTTCCTGACGCCCCATTCGCTCTCAACGGAACGACCATCTCTGAATGCAACAGTTATGTGTACCTAGGTCAAGAAGTCAACATGACAAATGACCTGTCACCTGAGCTGCACAGGAAGAAGAGAGCAGCTTGGAACGCCTTCAAGAGCGTCAAAGAAATAGCTAAGAGGACGAAGAACCTCCGGCTCCGGGCACATCTCTTTGATTCCACTGTTCTTCCTGCATTAACATATGTCTCAGAGACCTGGGTCCTACACAAACAGGATGAGAATGCTATTCGGGTCTCCCAAAGAGGAAAGAGCTATGCTTGGAGTATCACGTTTCACTCAAATGAGAGAAAGAATCCGGAGTTTTGACCTCCATTGACGATCAAGAATCAGGGACGCTGTCTCATTTGCCCAGGCATCAAAAATCAGATGGGCTGGTCACGTAATGAGATTTAGAGACGACTGCTGAACTAGAGCTGTTACCGACTGGATTCCACGGGTTGTCAAAAGACCGCGTGGCCGCCCACCTACCAGATGGTCAGACTTCTTCATCAAGATCATGAATGATTGGTTTGAGGCTCTTCATGTTCCTAGAATGAACAGACGCCATTGGGCTACACTAGCACGCGATAGGGACAAATGGAGACATTACTGGCACCCGCTTGAGCAAATCGGTGATTAATGGAAAGTCAAGTGGTCAAGTGGACAATAAAATAAATTATTCATGAGTCCTGAGATGGATGAAACTAGAAAAGATTTCTCCTGGTCCTGGAGTTCCTTGCTTAGACTCATGCTCTGAGTCCTTGGATCAGCAGTCACCATGATCTAAAGGGGGCTCCAGGACTCAAGTGGGTGACATTTAGGTGCTGTTTTCAGAAGCTGGATTTGAGATGGTATTCTGGACCTTATTCCAGAGCCCAAAGCCAGGCCTCATTATTGTTATTGTTATTATTATTATATTATTACTATTACTATTTGGAGTCAGGGTCCTACTGAGAAGTGTTCAGAGGGCCTGTGGACCACTCTGTGATGTTCAATCAGGGGGGCTGTTGGTTCAGTGCCCAACTTGAGGATGGGTGCCCCGTGAGCTCTGTAATGCCAAGGATCCACCAGAGCTGCCCCGACAATGCTTCTGCAGCCACCTGGTGCTGGAGATCCAACCACGTCCCGCATGCTCTGCCCTAGCTCTGGAGTCAGGAGCCTTTAGTCCTCACCAATCTGAAAGGTGAGGAAGTCAGGCTTGGGTGGTGAGTTCTGCAGTTGTGCACCATAGTCCTGGTCTTCGTCCCTTGCCTCCACATACAGAATCAGGGTAGAAGCTCCTCAGCCAGGAGCTCTACCTAGGGACAGGTGAGTCAGCCTGGTAGCCCAGTACCCCCCACCCCCAAGAAGCTCATCGCTGAGTTGGTCAATTGCCCAGGATTGCAGGACTGAGCCTGAGGCCAGCTGTCAAAAAGAGGTTCTGATAACACCTGCATTGCAGACCACAACACCCTAAAGGAGAGAGAGAGTAAAAGGGAATCTGCCTGCCACAGAGGCTGGGGTGGGGGGATTGGGGGGCAGAGAAGGGAGGAGAGGATACTGGGAACATTGGTGGAGAATGGGCACTGGTGGAGGGATGGGCACTCGATCATTATATGACTGAAACGTAAGCACAAAAGTTTGTAAGTATATAACTGTATCTCATGGTGATTCATAAAAATATTTAAAAATTTTTTTAAAAAGACGTTCTGAGATAAACTTGAAGCTAGCTTAGCAGGTGTCATCAGAGCCTCTTCCTGAGGCAGGTTTTGCTGTTTGTGAGGATGACAACATACAGGAAGGACAGAGAAGGACAGGCTGATTGCCTCTGAAATGGGAAAAAGTATCAAGGAATTAGAGGGGGGTGGCAGCGTGTTCATAGACACACTGCTAATTTAATCTGTTTCTTTAAGGGTGTTTCCTAGTTTCTAGGGCAAGTCCTGAGTGACCCTGAGTCTCAAGCTTGTCTTTCTAAGTTGTCTCTCTGGTGACAGGATGAGCAGGCATCTGGAAACTACACCTTCCTTCCAGAATATAACAGAATATGGTAGAGAGGAGGGAAATTGGCCTGAAATGGTTAATCCCATTCTGGTGAGAAAAAAAAGCTGTTGCCTCACCCCAAACTTCAATACCTGCAAGACCAGCCCTCCCCAAAACCCCCATTATTGGCGACTGTGAATCATCAGTCATCCAACAGATGCGAAGCAGGCCTTGCCTGCAACCCCACTCCCCTCAGGAGCACCATCACAAGTTCTAAGGCACATAAATCTCCTAAATGGAAAAGTAAACATTCTTCCTTTTAAAAAAACAATAAAGGAAAAAATGTGTCATATTTTCCTGGCCTGCCCAATACTTCTATTTATCAGATCAAAATGAATTCATATCAGCAATAGCTTCCCTGGTATTTCCTATTTTCAGTAATATTGAGTTGAAATATGGGGTGTCCATTTTTGTGTGTGGGCCCTTGGACTGCAGCGATTCTGCTCCCAAGATTGCCTTCATATTCTCTTTTTCTTCCTGGATGATTCAAATAAAGAAAAATATAGCTGTTGCCAACTCTCCAAACCTTTCTGGCTGCATTCTTTTTCTCCCTCAAAAACCTAGGCTTTTGTCAAATCCTCAATTCACAGTGACTTACTAGCAACCAGCAGAAGTTGTAGAACAATCCACTATGAAAAAACTAAGCTCCACTTGGATTCTGTGGGAGCTGCTTCTCGGAAGGGGCCTTGTTTTCTAGAACTGGCACTAGCGGAGAGTCAGACGGTCAGCTGGGGTGGGGGGGTGACCAGAGGGGGTTTGCAACACCTCTCTCGACTTTGTTTGATCTCTTAGGTCTGGGGGAGAAGGAAGGCTGTGTCCATCCTGTTATTTTTCAATTCTTCCCCACTCCTCCAACCCCACAGAATGGACTTGTGCATTCTTGGGAGCCACGTCATGACAAGCCCCATCAATGATTCACACTGCAGTGCTTTTTTAAAGAGCTGGGAATCAGCTGGTTTCAGGAGCCTGGGGTCAGAGTGCCCTTCACTGGCAGCTGAGCTCATTGTGGCTACAGACCCAGATCATGTGACTAGATGGTGATTTTCATCACCAGCCAAGGCTGGCAATGTTAATGTGTGTGCTTGTGTCCATTCAGAGGGTATTACCTAACTAAATCTCCAAAACTGTTAATGATTAGGGCTGGAGTGATAGTACAGCAGGTAGGGCATTTGCCTTGCACGCGGCTAACCTGGGTTCTACTCCCGGCATCCCATATGGTCCCCCGAGCACTGCCAGGAGTAATTCCTGAGTACAGAGCCAGGATTACCCCTGAGCATCACCAGGTGTGACCCAAAAAGCAAAAAAATATTAATGATATTAAGAGGCAACATAAAGAATTCAAGGAGGGAGGAGATATCGCAAAGAAGGAGTCTTATATCCTCAGTATTTAAAGAAAACCATTTTTTTCCCTGTAGTCTTTGGTGGTCATATTTAGTGCCACCAAAAGGAACTATCTAACTAAAACATAGTTTAAACTGAACTCTCAGAGAAGAGACATTTTTGGACAATCTTTGCTTATCATATGACTGTAGAGAGTATTATATCTTAAAATATTATCTCTTTTTTGTTTGTTTATTTCCAGGAATAAAAATGACCCTCCCAATCACCCAATCCTTTCCTCTCTCTCCATTCTCTGCTGCTACCATCAAGGAACCTTAGTAAAAGGGTCCTTTTTAATCACTGTGGTGAGGATTCCAAGGATCATTCTCCTGCACATTTACAACATTCTGAAGAGGAAGGTAAGGCAACAGCCCTGTGCACCATGCAGTCAGTGTGTGACTTACAGAAAGAGTTAATCATTGGAACTACAGCAAGTTCTTGGGCAGGATTGTGACCCATGACAATGTCCATTCAAAAGCTCCTTCAGCTCCAGCTTCTCACCCCCACCCCCAGTCCATTTGTTTATGCCTGTTTGTTGGGTTTTCTCCAAGACCCTGCTGGAGGTGAGGTGGAGAAGCAGTAGTATGATAGTTTTCCTCCTGGTTGTAATCCTAAATAAATGGGAGGTATTGTTAAGAAGAAATTCAAACAAGATTTCAAAGACTTTTATCTTGCTTTTATTAAAAGAAAATATACAGCAAGAGAGAAATACTACTGCTTGTTTCTGCTTTAATGCATGATCTAGTTTAGATATCTCCTAGAGGACTGAATTAAGTGTGAAATTAGGGGGGTGGGGATATGTGTGCATGTGTGTGTGAGAGAGAAAGAGTGAGAGAGAGAGTGCATGTGTGTGCAAATGCACACTGGCGTTTGTACACATGCACAATTGTGAGTAAAAACTGGGCAGGCTGACCTAAATCTCAGCTCAAAAGACAGAGAACTGTAGGGCTTTTGTGCCCAGGGCTTTTTCTCCTCACTGGTTTTTATTTCCATGCACATTTGGTTATGAATGCCAGTGGAAACCAGAACACCAGGAAAACAGCTGTTCTCATGGTATTTCTGGCCTGCCAGACAAGGGGAGGCTGGACTTGACCCAACTTTTCTGTTCTCACACAATCTTCATTGCCTCCCCCACCTCTGTGTTGGTGCCTTAGTAAGAGTTTTACAAACTTACCTGATGCCAACCTTTGGAATTTATTTGTTCCTAGTAAATTTGACACATGAATTCGTAATGTTATTTGGAGCTCTGGGTTTGTTTTGTTCTCTTTGAAGGTGAAATCTGAATTGTTGATGTTTTCAAGTTCATGGTCCAGATGTAAGAGTCATATATCAGTTAGGAACAATGGATGAACTTGGCATAAAATGATCTAGCTTGCTTATCTGGAAACACAGGCTAAGCAATTGCCCTGATCATAGCATATTTTCTTATATTTCCATTGAAACATTATTTTCCTGCATTTTGGTGACTCGGCAAGGGATTTTCACCTCTTGGTCAAATCTACTTACTCTGGTTTCTATAGTTTGAATTGGCTCTGCCATCCTAGGAAACTTAGAGAAATAGTTCTTACGGGGAAAAAATATGCGAGTGTAATTAGTAATGATAATTATAAATTAATAAGCACTAGGGGAGCTGGCTATCTCTCCTATGCTTTTAAACTCTGGGGAAATCGTTGTTCATAAATCTAAAAGAAAACTCACAAGATCCATGTTCTGGCTGAGCTCAGTAGGGAGATTTATCATTCTCCAGATCTCCTAAGCACCAAGGGGCCAAACTCCCTTTTGGTGAAGAAAGATAGTGTTAGAGAAATGTGTCTTTCTTGGGTTTAAAAAGCTTCTTTTTTTTTTCATGGTCTTCCTCAGCAGCCTTACAACTCTACCCAGTGTCTACAATTTAAACATTTCACAGTCACCCTGTGATCTTTCCTACATTAAATGGCTCATTCACAGCCGCAGCCAGGCTGAAAAGCTTCCAGATCAAGTTGCATCCAATTGAATTAACACTGGGACAAGAAAATGTCCATATAAGGTTGTGTTATTCTTGGGGTCCTGATAGAGGACTACTTCAGGATTTCTCTCAGAAATTTTTTTTTAAAACTCTGGGCAGTGGGCAAGATGAGTTTATTCAGTCACCCTCCCTAAAGCTTTATTAAATTATCACTCAAGCAATATCAAAGTTCAAGTTTATTTCAAAGGACTAATTTACTCCCTTAAATTTAGCCCTGAAATTCTCACTGTAGGATTTACTGCCAAAAAAAAGTTCAATGTGATCCTTCTTTTTTTTAATGTGGCACAACCAGTATCTACAATTTATTCCTTGTTTTATTGCCTCTGGGAAGTGATTTTTCATAAATATAAGCTTTAGTTTGAAAGAATAAAGTTTATAATAAAAGACAAAGGAACAGATGAACTGAGACTCTAGTAAAACCAGAAGGTCTATTTACCTTTCCTAATAAACATAGATGAGCCCATTTCCCTTTTATTGAGACTGGCAGCAGCCATAGGAGTAAGACCAGGAGAGAAAGTTTGCTCACAGGAATAAAAATGGTGATAGAAGAGTAGCCTGGAAAGTAGAACTTGCCTCACAGCCAGAGAGTAATGCTTCCCCAGGGGCCAACTCTCCGAGTCAAAACTGTGTCTGCAGACATACCCTGATCCCGTCTTCCCTGTACCATTTCTAATTCTGTTCCTTTGGTTTTGAACTTGATCCTAGCAGCACAGTGCGCTGTCAAAATACATGTTCAGATGCTGCTTCTGCTGTTCCTGGTGTCTTGACAAATGTCTGTGCCATCTCAACCAGGTATGTCTCTGCCACATGCCACAGGAACCCAGGGAGAGAACCAGTGGGGCTCTGTCTTTTAGCTCAGAGATAGATAGTTTTTCTGGAAAAGGCCAGAAAGTGCAAATGTTTTGGACTCTGGGGCCATGTCTGGGTTGCAACTCCTCATATAGTCATGGTCAATCAGAAAACTATTGTGGACAAATGACAAATGACTGACATGGCTGTGTTCTTGTACAATTTTATCTACAAACATTGAAGTTTGAATTTTGTAGGTTTTTCATGAGCCAAGAATACTTATTTTTTATTTTTTTCCCAACTGTAGTAGTCTCCCTCTAATCCCAGGAAATACATTCCAAAACCCTCAGGGGAGGTACCAAGTCCTATGGTGGCTGTATTTATTGACAGACCTTTGATGATTGACTATAAATTAGGTCCGTAAGAGAATAATAATGATACCTAGTAATAGGGCAAAATAATTATAACAATTTATTTCATAAAAAATATATCCACGTAATCACTTTCAAAACGTTTTACTGTCCAGAGTATTTTCCAGTAGAGACTGACTGTAAGTAACTGAAACCAAGGAACGAGAAACCACAGGAAAGGGGGTGGTGGAGAAATGTGTCTACAGGATTTTGAAAAAGTGAACATTGTTTGGAGCCACAGTCAGAGAAAAGCAGACTGGCTGACCTCACTGCTGGGCTGCAGCTTACAAGCTCCTATCTGAGCATATGTGAGGCCCTGGGTTCAATCCTCAGGACAAAAAAATATAAATAAAAAAGCAAGAGTTACAGACCTATAGTTTATAGATCCTTAACTCACTAAAGCCACTCTTCAAATTCTGGGGAGAACTAATTTATAAAGTGAACTATTCTAGGTAATGGTCTAACAATAAACAAAGTCTCTATAGGACTGAATTTTGGAATGTACTTTCCCTAGGATGAGAGGAAGACTACTATAGTTGGGAAAAAAAAAAAGGATTTCTTGGCTCATTTTAAATTCTGGGTGGAGGACGATGCATTTCTCTTTGGGAAATAAAAGAGAGAGAGTCTTTAGAAAGTCCAGGATAAGAACACATATCAACTGAGAGTTAATTTTCAATGTCTTCTCCAAGAACTATAATTTTCCTGAAATAGGAAAAAAATTACCTCCTTAATTTTGATATATTTCACCAGTTTTCCCTTTATAGCTATAAATATTCCCTTTACAAATAAGGACAAAAATTATATACTACGACTGCTTGAATTCCAGGGGTTTTTTTCTCCCTTAGGTCTTTCAATGGAAATCTAAATATATGTTCAGATGGAAATCTAAATATATGTTTTATTTTTCTGGCAGTAATTTAGGAAATTTTAATAACCCCTAGTCAAATTTACACAAAGGATATTTTGATAACTCAGTAGACTGTTTCACAATTTAAATCTCCACAGAAATCTCATAGTACTTAGAAAAGTACTTCTTATTACCATTATCACTAGAAATCAACGTACTGTTATAAGTAAAGGGATTAATTAGAACATCCATGTTTTATGTCTGATAACTGAAATTAGGAACAGCTTTCATTGTTCAAGGGATTGTGTGGTCTTCTTATAGTGAAGCTCTGTTTTTAAGGATAATTGGAAGGATCTTGGCATACATTTTAGGGTTTAGTTAGTGTTCATTAGGATCATTTTTAGCCAGAGAGTATAAAATACAGCAATATCCAACAGCACCATTCAGAATAGTGGGTGATCTAGTATGTCTAGTTGAACCTGAGACTGTTTGACAACCGTGTAATATGCTGGCCTTGTTCTTCCAAGAATCGCATGCACTGTGCAACTTACTCGTCCAAAGTATTGGGCTGCTTTACCAATACATGTTATCAAATCTATAGATCCATGAAAATCAAGACTGAGAGCCAGACAGATACCCAGACAGCATGGGACTACTGGCACACAGAAAGGCTGCTGGTCCTAAAGGCCCGAGGTTGAGCTGCACTCCTTCACTTGGAAGTACATTGACTTGGGATCTTTCTATGCCTCTCTTTACTCCTCATTTTCACTGTTCCCACGGAAATAAGATTCTTTCTTTTGGGTTCCTTGTGGTCCTTGTGGGGACCTTCACTTTTGTAGTGGAAAGGAGAGGGAGAGGAAAGGTGGGCTCAGGATGCAGATGCCCCCAAAACACACACACACACACACACACACACACACACACACACACACACACACACACACACCATCCCTCCTCTGCATTCCTGCATAGCAGCTCCACTTTTGGCTGCTGTAGGAGCTGGGACTCCACAATGCTGTCATCCATGGGCTCAGCTGCTCTGACACCAGAAACTCAGCAGCTCCCGCTGTGTTCACCTTGGTTGGTTTGCTCTGCCCTGAAAGCTGAAGCCACCTAGTTTCTGCTTCCCAAACTGTCAACCCCTTTATAGTCACTGGGAATGCAGAATGTTTCCAAGAGCATAAGTTGCACTTGTGTCAACTGTGTTTTAATCAGCTCTCTAATGTTGGAGACTCATGGCAGAGGGTAATAGCAGTGGCCATCCTTACTTAAGAGAATACTGAGACTGGACAAATCCTCTGAAAAATGCTCTGTAAGGAACAAGTGGTGGGAGTGGGGATTGCCCTTTGGATTTTGGTCTTGGTGCATGGAGTCTTGCCCTGACCCTCCTGTCAGAGCTTCTTTATGGGTGAAGACTCATGCAGGAACAGGCCAAGCCAGCTGGAGTAGATACTGCTCCAAAGTTGGAGATTTGGGAGGCTGAGAAAGAAGTGGGAATTAGGAGGACTGGTCAGTTGTTAAAATCAACCACAAATTGGGGGCGGAGAGTAGGTAAGATAGAGAAGGGAACAGTATCACAGTAAATGATCATGTAAATGATCATGTTGGATAAGAACTGTAAATGATCATGTTGGACAAGAACTGAGTGTTAAAAATAGGTAAAGGAATTATTTCTGATAACCTTTCAGTATCTATATTGCAAGCCACAATGCCCAAATGTGAGAGAGGAGAGAGAGAGAGAGAGACAGAGAGAGAGAGACAGAGAGACAGAGAGACAGAGAGAGACAGAGAGAGAGAGATTAAAAATACCTTTCATAGAGGCAGATCAAGGGGCAGGGAACTGGGTGTAATGGGAGGGAAACTGGGGGCACTGATGCTGGGAAATATACACTGATAGAGGGATGGGTGTTGGAACACTATATGACTGAAACCTAATCATGAACAGCTTTGTAAGGGTCTATCAGTGATTTAATTTTTAAAAAATGGTAAGAATAAATAAATAAATAAATAAGAAAGAAAGAGGTGGGAGAATGCAAAAGTCCAGTAAATATTGAGCATAAGGGAATGTTTGCCTCGGGCCTAAATCTACTACAGGAAAGCAGAGTGAGGTATGAATGTCAGAATAAAGGTGAGCGTGCTATTGCCAGATCAGCAGCAGCATTGTGGTGCTCGCTCAGCTGCCAGCAGACCAAGGAAAGTGATTCAAAGTGAGAAATGGAAGTTAGATTCTTTCCCTTTTTGAAGAATTTCCTGGCACTGGAAGGAGACACCAGGGAAAATTTCTCTGGAAATCGCATTTAAGGGAGCCGAGGCCTATTTTATCTTCTTTGATTTGTGTCGTCAGAGGTGGGAGATGCTGAAAGAGAAAGGGATCCATTTGTAACAAATAGCACCCAGATGCTCTTTACTTATGAGCAAGGACTTGTGGAGCTTTGCTGTTCCCTTATAAGAGTCTAATCCATCTCCACTGGTCCAGGGAGGGAGTGGGTGGCAGTTTTGTGTTTGAAACACCCAGCCTACAGCTGCATGGAGCAGGATTAAACCCCACCTGTCATCATTTCTTATTTCCTCATCTCTACAATATAAATACCAAGTGTGTGTGTGTGTGTGTGTGTGTGTGTGTGTGTGTGTGTTTATAATCCATATGGCTTACACATTTATTTATCCTGACAAGGATCTCTTTAGGCTGCCTGTGAAACATTTTGAAACTGGGTGTGATAGTATTACATATTCAGTAAAAAGCAAAGCCAGGCCTTGGAAGAACTGTCAGGCTAATTTGGAGATGGGAGAGGCCTTATGAGACATGCATTTGCATGAAACACATATGTGTATAGACAGAGAGTTGTGTGCTTAAGTGCTGGAAGAAAGACTGCCTTATGTGCAGGAAAGGGAAGGGAGGTCATTTTACTTGGTAACACAAGGATGCAGTGTTGTTGGGTTCTGGGTTGACTGTGCTATTCAATTGCAGTTATTTTGTCATGATTAACATTTTACTCTGCTAATTATTTGGTCCTTCTTCATTCACTGTGGCCCTTCTTTTGTGTGTACCTGCGGTGTGTGTGTTGGGGAGAGGGGAGCTGGCGAGAGGGTGGGGAATGAATCCCAGTCAATGCTCCCAATCCACTTCAGCAGTTCTTGGCCAACCAGGCCAGATGAATGCAAGGGCCCAAGAATACAGTGTTGCTTGGGCCCCGCCATGCTAGGGATTACCTAGACCACTGCAGTGGTGGACGGGGGCCACAAGGCCACAGCTAGCAATGCACAATTATCCATGGAGTGATGCTCAAGGACTTTCATTCCACCAGGGTGGAACAAGGACTGATGCATCCTAAAACCTGTACCACCTATAATGTCCTCCGACTCCTGTTCATTATCCATTTATCAGGCCTTTTCCCTTTACATTTCCCATTGCTCTTCCCTTCAGTGCTCTGTTCCTCTGGCAGAAGTGAAAGGCTGTGCAGCCAGCTAGTTGGAGGACCCTTTGCATTTCCTCTTTGGCCAGGAGCTCAAGTAAAGGAGAGTCCTCTGAGGCACAGCCAGCAAGAGGGACTGCCTTTTGAGGGGGGAGAGTTTGGGAGAATCCCTGCACCTGATTGAGCTTCTGCAGAATGGAGTTGGGGCCAAGGATCCCAGGGTCCTCATCATTTACTGGTCTTCATGTGATCCCTGATGGAGAGCAGGACATGGGGTTGCCTCTGGCACAGAATTATGACACACGATGGGAGAAATGTTGAGCACAGGCATCC